CAGTCTCGGATAGAAGTGACCAAAGACTCTAAAGAGCTTACGCGTAGTGTGTCAAGTTAGCTTTCGCTGTCGTAGACTATGGGTAATAATCGAAGCCTTTTCTAACCAGTAAATTGGGACCGGTTTTTTTGTGATCCCAGGGAAAATATAACGATCGATTTAAGATGAAAATATAAGAAAAAAATCATGACTTTTTAGAGCTTGGCATTTGTTGCTTATAAATCAGGTAATGATGTGTAGTTACTCAAGGCAATAATAAAGCTGTGCTTGTAAATTAGCGGCAAAGTACGCTGTCAAGTCTGGTGGTATCTACATAAAGCATGTTAAAACAATATTCGGAAAGGGTCTTTCGTGTTTAACCCTGAGTCTGTTATATCAGGGGGCTGCAATGAACTCTCAGATGATATTTTTACACCATTGATAGGTCTATTAAGAACAGAATAATTGGATTGATCTTTTGAGCGTTCGACTTATTACTCACTCACTCACTCACACTTACTTGTACGACGCAATAACTTGTTTCTTTGTAATGGTCAATGCACTTAGCTACACTAAGCTAGTCCACACGCATGCCACTGACTTAATCTGAAAGAGACAAATATTTCAAATAAACATAATAGGTTTAAATATCCCAACTAGCGGGAGTCAGATCAGTTGGCTATTTACAAGAGAGAAATGAAATTTTGAAGAGCATATCGCTAAAATATGTAGAAAAGTCAGTCAACAGATCGCTGTATTGAAAAGGATGTAGAAACTGTTGCCTTTTGAGACTAGGAGGGATCTTTACAAAGCTTTTAGTCTACCACACTTTACTAGTTGTAATGATTTACATAGCTGATATGACGTTGTACGTAAAAATACTAAGTAAAATGACTAAATTCAAGTCTGTCAAAGAAAAGAAAAAACGTTTTTTCTGCATTGAAAGGTGGTCGAGCTTGAACAACGCATGTCTTTGAAATTTTTGACCTTTTCCAGCTTGTAAATGCATTTCTTAGTTTATCACGAATGGTAAACATCCTCAAACGAGCTTTCTTAATATTCATTTTATTCGGCCATCTTTCGTTGAGAATTTTATGCTTTTAAGCGAACAGGATTTGCCATATGATACTCGCGCGTAGTTAGTTTATGGAGAATTCCTCGTTTTGATCA